TTCACTCCACTCCGCCGGCTTGCGCGTCAGGCTCCGATTGTGGTTCCCTCAAGGGATTTCACCTGCCTTAGCCTGGGCCCACATGCAAATCATGTAACGTTTTTCTTTTCATAAACATTGTACCACGATTTGTTTGTCACACAGTCTGGCTACAGACTGGTGTGAAAAGCGTTCTATGATTTGCATGTGGGCTGAATGCTGCCAGGCTGCCCAAAACAAGGCAGGTGAATTCTCTTTAGAAATCCACAACCGGAGCCTTCGGCTAGCCAGAGCCCAACAAGCAAGACGGTGGGGCGGTGTGTAAAACCCGCAATCCATCGGGGGCCGGTGTCCACTTCATCAGATCATTCGCCCTTTGGACGGGGTCAAACGTCCAAGGTGCCCAAAACACCTTGATACCCAATCGAGCCGGTGACCACTGCCACATCGAGGAGGGTGTGGGTGAGTGTGATTCGTACGCCTCCTCGTGGTTATTTTGGAATCAGGGTTTATGGCCAACCCCACTTGGTGAGCTACCAATGGTCCACAAACCTGGTCATCATCATCATCATCTTACAGCGAAATACAGTGAAGCGAACTCCACTGATCGTTGCCAAAATCCCAATGCATACAAGGTTAGCGGTAAAATTTAAGGTGGACAGGGATTGGATCTATTTTGAGGGAGGGAGAAGGTGAATCACTATGGTCAACACACAGAGTGCCCAATCGATTCTGCACACAACCGTTTCAAGCACTCTGACCTGACAAGAAACAACAGGAACGCCACTGCTGCCGGTTCGTTGCCATATCCTTCAATGTCTCTCACCAACCAGTTGTGGAGTCTTTCGGACCCCAACCTGGAAGGCGAGAGACACCTACTCTACCTAATGGCTCTGTGCATTTCTTCATGCCTCGTCTCCACGTCATCTGTTGACCTCCGCGTGATTTCCTCCAGCCCGGATTAGCAACAGCGAATAAAGCGCAGTGCGGCAGACAATGGCTGGGCATACGCAATACGTACTCTAGCCAACGAAGCCTGGTAATCTGAATTCGGTATGCTAGCAGGTTTATACCTGATAGACTCCCAAACACACGACGGCTTACCTCCACGTTACTAACCCGTTCGCTCCATCCAGCGTGTTACACTTGAGATTTTTACTCCTAGGAGTATCGCGTGTTACACAGAAACACTGAAGCTGTATGAGATGTGTCAAATGGTTTGACGATACGGGCACATCGGTTAAACCTTCTCCAATCTACATGTTTTGCAGTATGCAACCCCCACACCTTATTTCTTAACCATCAACATTTGTAGAAAATATTTTTTCCAACATCCGTCGATTTCAGAATAATCCGATACTTTTGATTTGACTCGTCTACTGCAGCGTGACTGAAGTTTGTGCGTTGAGGCTAAAGCATTGCGGGTTTTGGCTAAAGCATTTCAAATTTTGGCTAAAGGATTACGGGTCGAGACTAAAGGATTGCGGGTTTTGGCTAAAGCTTGATGGGAAAAGGTGTAGTTGGATTCGATTAACTTCGCTACATTTTCGGACACAATCGACCTATCGTGGCCTACTGTTCTGTGCGAAGTGATGATAAGGCAAAATCGATGTGGAAAAAACACGGGGCAAACAAGCACGCTCCTACGTAATAAGTATTTCTTCGCTGAACTTGATTTGTGATGACCGACAGACTGTCTGTATTTCCATCGATTCACGATTGTTTGAGGGAACGAGATGAAGTCATACCACCGGTGAACACACACACACAGACGACATAGTTACACTTACCGGAAATGAAAAAGGTATCATGAGCATCACGAGCGGGATGTTGCTGTGGTTGAAAAAGACTATCAAAATTCCAAAATCCACACTCCACATAGTTGTTCGTAGGCATCTCGGAAAAGCTGTGAAATAATAAATACAAAAAGGATATGTTATGCAAATCCGGAGGGGAAAATATCTGGCGACTGATCACGTGTTGCGACAGAAATCTTGAAACTACTGAAAAGCCTACATGTATTTAAGCTGTAGATGATCATAGTGACCGATCCCGGGATCCGATCAAGTCAAGTTGGTGCCTCAAGAAGAGAATATACCGTTACAAAACCAATATTAGGCATCAGAAATGCTAAGGAATCCGAATGACTGCGTACATCCGTTACTAATGAAATAACCTCTGTTAAAATCAATTGGAATCAAAGAGTAGGTGGGTAACGTAGTACACACCGTAGAATATGCAAGCCTTGGTACAGGTACAGAAGGCTGTAGTGGGATCAGGCAGTAGAGGGGGTCAAGTCTTGATGTGAGGTGCTTGGGTGGGTATTATTGTTAATGATCTTGCGGGGAAAGTGTTCGAACTCCTTGAGCTGTTTGCAACGGGGATACTACTGAAAGATCTAGAGAAACATAGACACTAGACTGAAATCCACAGTAAGCGTGATACGAGAGAGGTGCAAACCCCAAGTGCACGCTAAATCGAATTGTCGAATGGGGTATAGAGGAAGTGATTGTGTTTTGAAACAAAGAGCATAGAACGGGAGCCTGTGGACTTTATTGAAAACAACGCTAACACAGTCGGATCAAGTAAGGTTACGACTAAAAAGTGCATTACGATCTTTGACATGTGTATGCAGGTATTAGGAAAATCACGATAAGCATTCTTGTTGAGAGGGAGAAAGAAACAGAATTCAGTAGCAACACAATTTGGAGGGTTAGGACAAAGATCATCTGCTGCAGACCGTGAGTGAGTTTGGAATCAAGGGGAAGACAGAATAAGACACGCCAAAACTAATTTCGTTCTCATGCTAGATAATAAATTCCTAGAGAAGATGAATAGGAGGAAGAATCGTACTCTGGAATGTACAATTGGTGTGCGAACCACGGTGGACGAAACGCGACAGTGAAAACGAGTAAACTGTTGGTAGTTTTAGGAAGAATTGTACAGGAGAGTGACAAGAGAGATGAAACACTAGAATAGATAAGAGTGGGAAGGAGTTTGACTCAGTTTACACAATCTAATGGGTTTTCGTTCGCACGATCTGCTACGGGAGAAAGTAACGGCAGTGATGATATATGGAATGTATGAGGCCAGTGGGATAAGATGTGTGCTAAACCGGAATGTCCAATCGAAGTAACGTCAAAACAATCGATCAGCAATAAGGCACTTAATGGGAATCGAATAAACCTACCCCATATCGGCCAGAATTTTTGCGAATTCCGATCGAACTCGAAGCAGCGGGTGAAGGTGACCCGAGGGGAGACTCGACCCGAGAGCTTTGAAGTTGTATGGCTTGAAACGTGCAGTACTCCAAGCCCCACTGCAATATGGAACATATACAAATGCAGGTCGTGAAAAACCGGTTGTGATCTAATGGATGTTTAAATTTTTTTAATGAGAAAACTGGACAGCAGATAGCTGGACAAGTGAATGGATGGATGAACTGATAGATAAAAAGTCTGAGTGGTCACAGTTCACCAAGTTTTTGCAGTGTTTTGTTTTGTTTTATTCCTCAATTCAGTTTAGACAGCTAGTAACCTTGTCGATGGAATGTTGTGCTCGAGGAATCAACTTTTGGATCCAACGGCGAACACAGAAGTATCGATTTTTTTGACATCTTGAAAGATGCCGTTAGTTATTTGATAGTCAAGCGCATTCTGGAACAACGGCTAAGCGATTTGGAGAATATGCTTGGTAGTATGCCCAGTACCATTTTATGCATTAAATCCTTGTACTTTATTTTCTTGTGACAAAACAGGGCTGATTGCATCGCAGTGATGACTGTGTGGGCAAACGTTCACACGAGGTTTTGCTGAAATCAAATTTGTTACATGAGACCTATACCAATAAAACAGGAATTACAATTTAGGTACACCCATCTAGATTGATGTTCGGTAAAACGCGCGTTCGAGGTAGCACTTATCCGCGTTGAGAAGTGGATAGGAAACAGACTAGAAGGCGCTTTTCGCTGGAGATTCCCGTTGTAACATCTGAGAAAAAAAAGGAGCTAATAAACTCGTTTTCGATAAGGTCTCTTCCGGCTAATACAGTTAGATGAAGAGGTAGAAGGTATACCAAACTTGCACAACGATTACGGTGTGCGTGAATCCGCTTTGTAGATGAAGTTCGTGGATTGTGTATCGTTCACGAAGTGGGCGTTGAGTGGATGGGAACTGGAATGAGAGATATGAGGGTTAGGTTACAGTAAAGGTAGTCCCTTTTCGGTTCAGATCACAGGGTCAACAAACGGATACCTCTAGTTATGGGACTGATTTTACAACTAGGCCATGTAAGTTGAAACGGTTTGGTAAATCAGTAATGGGAGCAAAGTGATGGATTGAACACACGGATGGCTACCATCTTAAATTTTGCTAAATTCTGGTGCCGAGTAGCCTTTGATTGATTAGGAGGCATCAGGTAGATTGCCTTCAACACTCGTTTATCCAATGAGTGTCTCGTATCTGCGAGATATTCCAAGAGGGCACTGGAGATGGTTTCCTTCGAAGTGGTACTCCGCATGGAATAATTAAACCAGCAGAAAGCGAAGCTAGTTGAAGACAAATATGAAATAAATATGTAATCAGTAGCTCAGCTCACATCAGTGTTAAACTTAAGTATAAGCGCACTGGTTTTGGTTACCCATTTATACAAAGACTAAAATACAGAAAACAATTGACCTGAATTTAGATGTATGAGTATCAATGTTTACGACACTCAGCCATACAGCTCAGTGTCTCTAATCAGCGATTAGACTAATTCCGAGGTCCCAACTAACGGGCATACCGTGACTTATATGAGCAGGTCTCCTGGTTAATGTTTCATACCCCAATGCACGATGTTGGTGATTTCAGTGAGCCATGCCAGAGTTCGCGTACGTCGCGAAAGCTTGTCTTTTGAGTGGACTCATGATTTTCGGATGAATAGATTCTACCGTTTTAGGCCTTAAATTCGTTCGACTAAATGGTGAGTTCACTTCAAGTCAAGTAATGAAGTCAAGAAAAGCTTTATGCAATCAAAGGGTGAATCTTCAGCAGTTTACGATTTTTAAAGTGAATAGATAAAACCAACTGTGAATAAAAAGGACACTATAAGAAATTCTACACTAGTAAATGAGAGAAAAATTAGGGCAAGAGTTTTTCCCCGAGGTAGGTGAGAATATTCTGACGATTAACTAGTAACCGAGCTAGATATGGAATCACACTGTTTCGATATGTGGAAGTAGGCGCAGGAAGCAGTTGATATTTGGAGCGAGTTCGGGGATGTGACAGGGCTTTCGCGATATTCTGGTGCAGGCAGTGCCCTTGATCACGTGTTATCCTGTCAATGAATGTATCACAGGCATCAAGATGCTTGGGAATAAAGAAATTAACTAAAACAACTATATCAACTCCACTGTAGCGGGACAAAAGTTTAAGGGATCTCGAAAATTAAGTGGTTTTTTTCTCAATCTGCGAAAGAATGATCACTTTGAACCACTGCGTAATCGAGCATTAACGAAAAGACTGTAATGGTTCGAGCAAAAGCACAATATGTATAATTTACAACCAAACAGATGGATTTCCGATTTTATGCGTCAATTCCTACTCTCTCTTGACCGTACCAGAAGCGAGAAAAGGGCTTGTAAATCAGTGAGTTCGAACGAACGCAGATATCCTTAATTTGTTTCAGCTGATCGGGATATGGATCGGGATATTGCCGCACGCAATCAACTTCAAAGGGATGCTGAATATCCACCCTTCGAGGCGTATAAAGCGATTCCTTGACTTGAATTAAAAAAACCTAAGTGATGTGTTAACCAATAACGAGGCAATTTTTCCTATGGTTGCTGAAGATCTTAGGCCAGAAATAGGGGGCTTCCACGTCAGAAACACTTACTTTCAGCCCGATATAGATTCCGAAATCACGTTATCTAAATCGAGAAGGTGACTGAAAAGCGATGGCAACTACAAGTGGAAAACTTGCAAAAAGACCTAATTTCTTCAAGCAGTGTACCAATGTGCTATTTTGAAGGAGGTCGTTAATGTGCTTCAGTCCTCTGGGTGATGGCCACATGTACAAAAGCACCTCACGCACGGAAATATATCTTGCAAAACGCTCACTTGGCTATCATATCTGACGAAACATCAGTTTCTTCTTTGCCAATCTCCAAGGAGAACGCGGGGCCTTTTTCAATAAGATACCTTGTTCGCTTCCTATGACCAAAGAAAAGATAGTGCATTTAGTGATACAAATATCAACCGGGATACATTTCAGTAATCAATTTCCGTTTCTTTAACTCATTTTTCATGCTCTCGGGAATACCACCGCTACTCTTGTCGTTCACTACTGACATCAAATCTCCCTGAAGAGTGTCCTCCACGTTTGTGGCCTAAATTGGGATGATGATGGGGCAGACAAGTGCACGTACCAAACGATGAACCATCGTCTCTCCAGTGTCTGTCTTCTTCATAGTCACCCACTTTGCTGCTAATGCTTTGTTTAGTCCAATTTTCGCATTTGGAAACGTTCCCTGAAGAAAAGGAACAACGAACGAATCTCATGATAACGATAGTCTATTATCACATACCAGGAGCTCACGTTGAGAAATCCCCGTGTCTGACACAAGCGAGTATACCCGGAACTCATGACTACCATCGGCTAGGACTTGCTTTCCTTCGTTTGTCAATTCATAAAATGTCTCCGATATCTGTTCACAGGTAATGATCTACGAAAAAACAAAGACGGTCAAGAATACAAACAGATGAAGAGAATATCTATCTTCTAAAGGTACCACGTACATCGCCAAGGCTTTGAAGGCTTTTCAAAGCACCCACAACCAGTTGATGATCTATGTCCCATTCATTTGCAAGTTCCAAGGAGCTCAGGGTCCCACGTTTATCGAGTTCCAAGAGGATTTTCTCCTGGATAGTCATTGGCTGAAATATGATGCAAATAAGAAGCGTTAAATAGAAAACCAATGCAATTCCTGAAATTTACGGAACTCGTGTGGAACACGATGATCGATAAGATCTCGTGAATACAGTTTTTACTGAAACACAAATCTCTCCCTCGTCAGACACCACCCACCTTCAATTCCCTAACTACACTCTCTATTCCTCCTTTCTACCCAAAGCCGGTGTCTGCGCCTTCATTCACCAATCAGTCGCCGTCTCCAGGATCACAAATCTTGACTTTTCCAATCGCGAATTTCAGCTGATGTGGCTGAAACTCCGACTTCCTTCCTTCAATCATTACTTTTGTGTTCTTTATCGTTACCCCAATAGCGGCGATTCTACCATCTTTGATTTTCTATCTTCCAACATTGAACANAGGTGCCCAATACACCTCAATGTCCAATCGAGCCGGTGACCACTGCCACAACCGACAAGGTGTGGGTGTGGTTCGTACGGCTCTTCGTGGTTGGTTTGGAATCAGGGTTTTTGGCCAACTTCCCTAGGTGAACTACCAGTGGTCCACCAATCCGGTTATAGCCCCGGATGTCGGCTTTTCGTCCTCTCATTTTC